CCTGGGATCATGACCTGAGCTGAAGGCAGTCGCTTAACCAACTGAGCCACCCAGGCGCCCCTGGGATCAATGTCCTTCTAAAAGAGACCTTGGAGAGCTCCCCTGACTCTTATACCTTGTAAGGACACAGCAAGACAGCTATCTATGAATCAAGAAGGGGTGGGAGGAGCTATCCTTTCAAATACACCAGCACCTTGATCTTGGGACTTCCCAGCCTCCAGAGCTGCGAAAAAATAATGTTGTTTATAACCACCCAGTGTATGGTACTTGTTATATTTGCCCAAATGGACTAAGACATCAATAGCATAAAACAGAGAGTCCAGAAATAGACTAGAATAGAAATTAATAGGTAGCATTTCAAATCAAGGGAGAAAGAATGAAAGATATAATGAATAATATTGGGATAACAAGCCATACATTTAGAAAACAACAATAAACACGAAATTATAAATCCACCAGACAAAAATTAATCCCAAATAGATTTAAAAGGTAACTAAAACATCAATGCTATAAAAGTTTTAAACATATGTTGGTTTTTCAACTTGCCTGAATCTAGGTTAGTGTTAATTAGGTGAGTTTCTGTTGTTCGCAACCAAAAGAACTTGACACAGAACCCTGACCAGAATTTAGCATGGAATATTAAAAAAAAAATCAATGCAGAAAAACACAATAAACAAAAAGATAAGCAACGACGAGAAAGTATTAGCAACATATATAAACAAAGTATAATGTCCATGTTATATTAAAAACTCCTAGGGGCCCCTGGGTGGCTCTGTCTTTAAGCATCTGCCTTCGGCTCAGGTCATGATCCCAGGGTCCTGGGATCGAGCCCCACATCAAGCTCCCTGCTCCGCGGGAGGCCTGCTTCTCCCTCTCCCACTCCCCCTGCTTGTGTTCCCTCTCTCACTGTGTCTCTCTCTGTCAAATAAATAAATAGAATCTTTAAAAAAATGAATAAAATAAAAAAATAAAAACTCCTATAAGTAAAGAAAACTAAACAACCCAATAGAAATTTGGACAACAGATATGAACAAGTAATTAATAGAGGAAGAAATATAAGTGTCGAATAAACATATGAAAAAATGTTCAACCTCATTAGCAATAAAGAAACACAAATTAAACACTAATGAAGTAACTTTTTTCACTCAAGAAAAAAGCAAAAATTTGATGGGGCACCTGGATGACTCAGTCGGTTAAGCATCCAACTCTTGAGTTTGGCTCAGGTTGTGATCTCAGGGTCATGAGATGGAGCCCTGTGTGTCAGACTCCACACTGGGCGTGGAGCCTGCATGGGATTCTCTCTCTTCCTCTGCGTCTGCCCCTCCCCCCTTAAGAAAAGTAAAAATCTGAAAAACTCTAATATTAACAACAAGTAGGAAAGTGGCCACTTTATAAACTATTGGCCAAATATAAATTAACACTATCTTCTCAAAGGACAATTTGGTATAACATTTATTAGAATTTTAAATTGGCTTTTCCTTTCTTTCAGCAATCTCACTTCTAGGAATTTATCCCACAGAAAACATACATACATAAGAATATAAATATAGGTACTATCTGTAATAAGTATTGGAAATAATCTAAATGTTGAAAAGAAAAATGGTTAAGTAAATTATGGCATATTCTTAGTAAGGAAAATGTTGTAACAGTTAAAAACAAGATAGATCTATATGTATTAACATGGAACAATTTTCAATATATATAAATTAAGTGGCAAAGTCACAGAATGACATATTGAACATACTGCTTATATTTAAAACTAGTCTATCAAAAGATAAAGATTTTTAAATTATACATCTTATATAATACATTAGATATCTTAAAGAAATATATCTATAATAAAGGTAAAGGCACAATAAAGGATCTAGAAAGATATACACCAAACCATTAAAAGCGGTTTTATCTCCAGTAAGAAAAAGTCAGAATAAAAAGGGAATTCCTTGCCTTTTCTTCTATCTACTTCTTTTACTTTGTGTGTTTATATATGACTTATATAATTCAATATATTATTAAAGAAAGTAAAATGTAAATATAGCAAGCAAAAGAATTTCTGCTCTGACAGGCAAAAACCCTCCAACTCTAAAATTTTAAACTAAATACTTCAAACTTTTTATTTTTCCACTCAAATATTACAAAATACTTTATTATTCAGATTTGAAATTGAAGAAACTGTAACAAAATTTTCTTTGTAAAGATCTAAGAAATATCAGGCTCAATGGAGATTTAATGTATAAAATTGTATAATAAAATGTAATTGAAGCTCTTAATCCTTCAGAGATTTAACAAAGTTCCTACTTTTACAAAGACATATTCATTACATTCATTAAATTCAAGATTTACTAACATCAATTGTTGATATTTTAAATGGAGAAATAATCATTCATAAGAAAAAAGAAAAGCCATAAAATACCAGCAAAAACCCTTCTATAGAAGTGTTTGTATAAATCCACTGAAGTGTCTTTAGGCAGACTAAATTGCTGATTAGATTCAACAGCATTAGGAACCCATTCTTCAATTTTATTCCAATTTCAGTGATTTAGAATCATGTACCGATTTCAACGTTTTGGCATCCTTTTCAAAACATGAAAACCTTATTGTATAAATCTAAATATTTGAGGCCATTTAAAAACAAATGTTAAGTATCAAAAACTACCAAAATTCACCTGGTTTTTGATAGACAAATCTTCCTAATGATAAAATTAGGATATACATCTAGGGAAAAATAAAACTTCACCCATCTCAACATATAATTACTGAATTAACTGATTTCTAATTATTCAAATAGTAAATACATGTCTCAAAGAAATGCTCAAACTATAATAATTATGTTTAATAATTATTAATGATTAAATGAACTCAAATATATTAAAGTGTAACTTATAACTGATTTAGAGAAATTCTAGAAAAACATTCAAAGTCTATTTATTTCCTGTACTTTTCTTTCAAACTAAATAAATGACAGGAGAATAACAGACTCCAACCTTTCTGTTTTGGATTCACTGTCAATTCTGTACTGTTCAAAATCTTGACTAAGAGACCGTAGCTTTTCTTGAAGTCTCTTTTCACGGTCTATGCTTCCTTGATAAAATTTCATCTCTTTTTCCATCACTTTCATTTTTTCTTCCATAGCCTTAAACTCATGAAGAATAAGATAGCTGACTCCGCAGTACTTACAAACTTTTTCTTCAGGAGACATCTAGAAAACAGACATACAGACATACATACATAAATTAAAATGATATTTTTTAAATTCTGAAAAGCAAAGTTCTACTGAAGATGTTATTGCAACCATGCTGGTCAGATCAAGTAAATGTACACTGGACTATGCCATGGAGTGATAATTATGACTGCTTACCTCTGGATAAAATTTTTAAAACTGGCATGATACTGACTCTGACACAAAATCTTGGAATTAGAAAAGGGTCTTTCAGAGTGATTATTTCTCCATAGTATCTCTAAGAAAAATTTACTCTTGAAATAGTTTCCACGAAATAAAATTAAAAATGATGAAAACATCTTTAAAATTCTTGTTTTAAGAGGAGTTTTCCACGAAGTGGAGAGAAACTACGGGCCTTTTACTGCCAGTTGCACTGTGAACCTGGAGATGCTTCTAGGCTTTTTCAGATCTCATTTTTCTTCATTTATAAAATTCTGGCATTGGACCAAATGAACTCTTAAGCTCCTGTTCAGTTTTAACATTTTATGCTTTTTACAGAATTTAACAGAATTTATGCTAGAATTCTGTCATAAAACCACAAATAGTAAAAACATTTTGAACCTAACCTCTTCTCTCCCAGGTCTTTTCCCTTCACATAGGTATGGTAGATACCTATGGTAGATTTTATAGACAGGGAAATGGCAACCACTGAAGTTGAATAACCAGCTGATACATAGAGACATTGGAATTAAACCCAAGTCTATCTAAACCCAGCACCTACGCCTGTAACCATTTGTGTCATATTTATCTGCCATGTGAAGGTCAGCTAAATCCTCTTCCTTCCTTCAAATAAAATGTTCATGTATCTCTGGTCAACATAAGGGCAGTGAAAAATGGAATTTAGCAAAGTCAAGAGAGAGGTAATTCTTTTTTCTGTCTCAAGTATATAAATGTTCTTCAAGTAGACTCTACTCTACTTGTCCTGCTATTCACAAAGGATGAGAGACGGCTTCATTAAATATTTGCTCCAGAGTACTAAAATGAAAGCAACACTTTTAAGCGTTACTTTTAATGCAACCTCCCTCAAGATTGTAGAAACTGCTCCCTTAACTAAGAGTGACACCACCTCATCTGCCTATCAATGCCATTACACAAGAGTCAGATGAAACAAACTAATAACAAATTTTTACATAGTAACATTTTGCTCATCTAAAGTTCAATAATAAAAATTTCAAATTAAAAAATATAATACTGTGGGATACAGACGAATGACGACATCAATCATCTAACTGCCAGCAATACCAAAATTACAGATTTGTAAAACAACAAGTTTGGAGGAAATCATAAAGATAACTTTGTTCAAGCTCTGGATGGGTTCATAAAGTCTACTCCAATTTAGTAAGTCATTATCCTGACTCTATTTCAACATCCCAAATGATGGGAAACTACTTTGTAAAGCAGCCTGTTTATCTTCTGATGGCTTTGTCTACCAGGAAATTCCTTGTCATGCTGACCCCAGATCTGCCTCCCTGGAACATCCACTGGTCCTAGACCTCCTAGGAACCATGTGGAACAACCCTAGAGCTCTTTCTAATATTTAAAAACAGCTTTCAGGAACACTCCATATCTTCTCTTCTCCAGGTCAACACTTCCAGTTCCCTCAGCTGTTTCCCATATGACATGGTTTTGAATTTCTCCCTTATTCTAAATAATTTTCTCTGAACTTGTTCCAGTGTTCTATATATGTCTCAAAGTATGGTGCCCAGAATTTAATACTCCAGTGTGGTTGGTCTCACTGAAACAGAATAAGAGAGGGCTCAAGCCTCCCTCATTCTAATATCTTGTAAGTAATATCATTGGTAGTATCTTCTAATGCAACCTTAGATCACAACTGTCTTTTATATTTTCAGCAATTATATGTTGATATTATATACTACAACAGGCTTTTATGTTAAATAAAGCCCCTATTTTTTAAAAAATATACTTCAGTACAGGGGCGCCTGGGTGGCTCAGTCGTTAAGCGTCTGCCTTCGGCTCAGGTCATGATCCCAGGGTCCTGGGATTGAGCCCCGCGTTGGACTCCCTGCTCCACGGGAAGCCTGCTTCTCCCTCTCCCACTCCCCCTACTTGTGTTCCCTCTCTCGCTATGTCTCTCTCTGTCAAATGAATAAATAAAATCTTTATATATACTTCAGTACAAAACCATCTTTCATTATATTAAGTATACCAATCTATTCCTTCCCACCTGTGTCCGGTTTTTTAGAGAATCCACCTTCTACTGTCCTGGATGCTCTGTTTAGTAAAATGACTAAAACTCCCTCCACACATCCACCCTAGCCATGGCTGACTGGGGGATGAGGATTAGACATTAGACCCAAAAGAACGAAGCCCTAAGATGGGATGAGCCAACCAGACTTGTAAGTGTTGAAGACCCAGGTATTTGGGACACCTTTAAGCAGTCTCAACGGAGAAGGATCATATGCAAGGTACAGAGTTAGCCACATTACTGGAATGAGGGAGAAAAATGAGCAGACACACAGAGACAAGATGAGACAAAGATAATCTGGATCCAGAGTAGGAGAGGAAAAAAGGAACCAAAGACCTTCGAATTCCTCACTTCAGTTCCTCTTGAGACCTAGCTGCCCTTCTTGCCCTTTGGGGTCCATGCCCAATCTTCCTGCACTATTCTCTTTCCCTCTTATACTACCAATTTCTTGCAACCAATAACCTTCATTCTATCATGTGAGTATTTGGCTTTTCAGATTGAAGTGCTGAAAAATAAATATAATTATAAATGTAAGTAAATAACATACATATTTATACATAAATATCTCAGACACACATATATTTTGAAGATAGGTATGTCTTAGACTCAGCCTTTAGTTACTGACTTTGGTATCCAGGAAATTTTAAGCTTTGTGTCTTTTTCAAAACTGATCCTTGTAAGTTGCTTTATCCATCCAGTTCATTGATTAAAAATGTTGAATATAACAAAATTGAGGAAAGAACTCCACAGCATGTCATAAATACTTGGTTGATACTGATCTATTATTCAGCACATTTGAAGAGTTGAAGGTACAACTTTCAACTGGTTATTAAACTACCCAATTATCTTTATACTGATTCATATTATCTTCAGGAATATTATGACAAACTTTGTCAAATGTCTTCATAAAGCCCATATATTCTATGGCTACTACAGTTCCTGGATCTAGTAACTGTACACAAAATGGAATGGCAGGACCTACATGCCAGTTCCCTTAATGAACGTAAAATTGGCTCAAGGGTTATTGCTTTCTAGTATATACTCACAAACCACCTTTTATTTTTTTAAGATTTTATTTATTTATTTGAAAGAGAGAGTGTGTGCGCTCCTGCACATGAGTTGGGAGAGGGGCAGAAGGAGAGGGAGAAGCAGACTCCCCACTGAGCAGAGACCCGATGCCAGCCTGGATCCCAGGGCCCTGAGACTATGACCTGAGCTGAACACAGACGCTTAACCAACTGAGCCACCCAAGCGCCCCCTACAAATCACCTTTTAATAAATATATTCTAGTACATTGTCTGAGATTGAAATTGAATTCACTAGTTGTAATTTACGGTTATTTTACACATGGGATGGCATTTGTACATTATCCTCTTACTCTCTACATGTTCTCAAAGATCACCAACCACAGGCCCATTCAAAGGTACTATCAGTTCCTGGGAATATAATTTATCTAGGTGAAGAGACCTGAACTAATTCAGAACAGATGGGTATTTTCTTATAATCCCTTTCCTCACTGTGATTTTTGGTTCCTTCTCATCAATTTGCAAATTATATTGCTTACTTGAAGGCACTTTCGTTCTTAACCTTATGCCTATTAATCACGGTTCTTGCCCAGACTCTGGCAAAATGCCTTACCCTCATCCTAAAGAAAACTCTTGCTGGGTGGAGCTTATTTGCAGCCTGATGTAAGTACTGTAAGCAAATAACATATATATTTATACATAAATATCTTAGACACACATATTTTGAAGATAGGTATGTCTTAGACTCAGCCTTTAGACTCAGAAAGAGTATACATTTCACAGTTACAAAAGCTATTAGGATGTTATTTTACCACAGCCATCAAGTGGGAGGTGGATGGAGCTGAAATCTATGAAGTAATACATTTTACAGAATCTTCCAGAAGTTCAACAAAGAGAGCCCAAACATGACATTATGAGCAAGAAACAAGACAATCAAATTATAAAATAATAAGTCCATAAGAAGAGTCTCCAGACTGGGCCTAGTACAATCTGAATCACTGATTGATCTATGTTAAATAAGTATATTGAACAAAAGTTTTCCATGTTAACTTGTAAATAATTTTCCATAAGTAAAACTACAACAGAAAGAAATGTAATAACCCTTTCAAATTCTTTGTGTTTGTATGGGCTAATTACTGAGGACATTTTTGTGAAACTTGAGAAATTATGTTCCCAAATGAAGTAAAAGTTACCTGTTTTTTGTGAAATATAATTTGTGCTTCATTCTTATAACTTGGTGTTATATCATGTCCTCATTTTGTAAGTAAAATAACGACATGCTGTCATTCTTGACAAAAGAGCTAACATTAGGATGTTTTTGCTTTCTACAAGATGCACTTTGGAGGAGGCATCAACAAATGCAGTATATTAAACGTACAGCTATTTAAAAATAAATTATAAAATAAACTTTGCAAGTTCAGTGTTTGTACTTTTAAAATTATAGTTATTTAATATAAAAATGATGCAAAATTTTTAAAAGGTTAAATTAGGCTTTGGATCCTTTTCAAAGTTCCTGTCTGTGCTTTAACTAGGAAAGGCACTCCAGTAACCTCCTGCTGCCCAAATGAGGCATTCTCTGCTCCAAAACTGTTTTCTTCCCCCACCCATCCCGGGCTTTTGTACTTGGATAAGGAAGAAAGAAACATAAACTATTTCACAAAGGTAAGAGTGACCGCAGTATAAAATGTTAACCTTTCTAAGAGGTCTCCCATTTAAAAAGATGCAAAGAGTGTCTAGCTAGTGAATTT